GAGGGAGGTGGGAAGAAGGGAATGTTTCCATGCGCTTTGAAATTTCCCTACGCTGTTTTAATGTACGGCTGAGACCAAGACAAAACTAAATTACCTTGTTGTGCGTAACGACATTAACATACGTGGCTCGTAGGTCTCCATGTATAATGTTCTTTACATGGAGATAATGCATAGCAGATGCCACTTGAGACAGGAACGTTACTATATCAACAATTTGACATCGATTTTCAAGAACGTAACTCTTTAAATCACCGAAAGGAGCCTCTTTGGTAATCTAGAAAGAAGAAAAAAAAAACACTGTCTTAAGTCTTCCAAATTAGAATACTCGGTTTTATTTCGTTGGCAACATACTCTAGGACAAAGGTTATCTGCTATTAGTGCATTCAAAGTACACTTTAAATGAAAAAATACCAACGTATTTTTGCGCAGAGTAAAGTTAAAATCTAAGTTACTTACGATTTCTGCTATTGGGAAATGTGAATCCAAATTGTCTATTTTCCATATGGCTACGAGGTTTGCATGGTTGAGAGCAAGGAGACCTCTAAGGTGATGATCATCTGTCCTTTTGATCTTCTCGCTGAATGCAGATTCAGATGTCTGAAATCATAGAATCGTCGATGCACCTAGTTGTACAGTCTTCATCAACTCGGGAGCTTATAAATCTTCGGTGGAACAATCTTCGTGTCAGACAAGGCGTTCTGAGGCCGTTTATGGTTTAAATGCCGTAAAGGTTTTGGGAATCACAGTAATCTTTTCAATAGTGGCTCCTTAGTTCACATTAGCAGTGAAAGCCAGTTACGCTGAAACTTTGCATTCTTTAGCTCTATTTAACCAACTTTGCGGACTCATTCTTATTAGTTTTTTTTTTCCATGAAGGCAGTTATTATTGTTATTATTATTATTACTATTATTATTATTATTATTAGTAGTAGTATTATTATTTTTATTATTATTATCATTTTTACCTACCGGGATCAATTGTATTTTCCTTGGAAGGTCTGCTAAGTCACTGTTTGAAGATTTTTCCTGAAAAGAGGAAATGAAAAGTCACACTTCATTATGAACACGATTGAAGATACTATACTGGTTAATAA